GAAGGAGAGCGCCTGGACTCCATCCAGGGGCAGCCAGGGTCCCATTTCCATGGATCCTGGATGAATGGAGAGGTCGGCACTTCCAACACCAAGAATGAAGGCATCTTTCCCTCACTCACTTTGGCTCCACTTACACAACTTTTACTGAGTCCAGCCATGGTTTAGTTTGTTACAAACCACCCGTACCATCGACAAGGCATAATTGATGCATATTTTCAAAGGGCAAATTTTGGGTGCCCACCAATTGTTAGCAATAGAAAAATCTCACAGCAGGAGGCTCTAGCTCTATGAGCCTGATCCCTGCAGCTTCCTCTTTGTATGGGCACACAGGTACACCAGGAAACACTCAGTGCACTGATGCACTATCCTGATTTCAGTTGGAATTTTGTTAAAGTGAGTACACTGTGAGTTCAGTCAGGGTTACTGAACTTTATAAAGGGACAGATAGTAATTTTGGCTTTGTGGGACACACGAAGCCTGAAAGCCACAGACAAAGCATATGGGAATGGGCGTGGCTGAATTCCAACAAAATGCCATTGACAGGAATAGCAGACCTGGGGGCTAGAGTTCGGCAACTTGTTTCAAGAGACATTCTTGGCCAGGCAGGGTGGCTCACCCCTATAATACCAGCATTTTGGGAGGCTGAGCGGGGAGGATTGCTTGAGTTCAATGAGTTCTACATCAGCCTGGGCAACACAGTGAAACCTAGTCTCTACTACAGACAAAAAAAAAAAAAAAATTAGCTGGGTGTGGTGGCACGTGCCTGTGGTCCCAGCTGCTTGGGAGGCTGAGGTGGGAGGACTGCTGGAGCCCAGGAGTTCGAGGCTGCAGTGAGCTGTGATCACACCACTGCACTCGCACCTAGGGGACAGAGCAAGACCTTGTCTCAAAAAAGGGGCGGGGGGGGGAAATATTTTTATAAAGTACAAAGAAATACAATTCAGGCTTTTTTGCTGCATGTTTATTCCATCCTGCTTCCTTCCCAACATGTCCCAAAACTGGAAGGGAAGCCTTCTGCACACAGCACCTGGACAATGGGCCCAGCCTCCTTCCCTTTCCCACGTTAACAGCCACAGGCTCTGGCTCTGGGGCTGCCTGGGAGGAATCCCCCAGGACCCCATCCAATGCACACTGTCCATCAACTCTTCCTCTTCTGGAGGTTAAAGTGTGTCTTCTCCCAATTCACAAAGAGTCCCTCCACACCATTCTTTCCCACCCCAATGCGCCCCACGCACTTGCTAGCTTCCTTATTTCTGTTAGTTTTCAAGTCTCTTTGGGTTTATTCCAGCCCCCACCCCACTCCTAAAACAACCACCCTCCCTTGCTTTGTATCCCACAGCAACTCCTCTTTCTTTCTCTTAGAAACTTCTCCACAGAGCCTGACACGCCTATTTCCCTACCTCCCACAACTTGAGCAAAAAGTCCCTGCTACAGCCATTACCGATGGCTGCAGGTCACCACACCCTACGGCTTCGTTCTTATGGTGGATCCAGGACCAGTTGTGACAGCTCACTCTGGCCCCTTAGGAAGTTTTCCCTGGGTCTGAGGCCACCGTGGGCTGCTTCTGCCCCCATGGCTGATGGCCACTGCCCATGGCCATCTCCAGCCAACTCCCCTTCCTTCCCCACCATAACAGAGACCACGTGCTGAGTGCTGACAGTATCCCGAGAATTGGGAATAGTCTCTTGCATCAAAAGGGCGCTGCTGAATGCAAAGTTTTCTGATTCTCAAAAAGCTGGGTTCCCTTTCAAAGGCCTCCACCACTGCCAGACGCTGCTCCTCCTCTTTGCCTGACAGGAACCCACCGACCACACAGTGTTTCTGGCCAGTCTACAGAGGATGCACTGTGAGGGTTTCATGTCCCCTGCTTCCCCTCTGATGTCTCAGGGGGCTGAAAGAAAACCCTACCCTCGAATCATGCCATTGCCACCATTTTTTTGAACATGGGACCACGAAAGAGCATAAGGCTTGTGAATGTGCACGCTTCTCCTTTCATAAATATGTATGACTCCCCCTACAGCTTATTGAATATGTATATTTGGCCACCAATATCCCTAAATTCTTGTTGCCTTTGCTCCTCCCTTGAAGTGTCTGTTTTTGGCTTCTGGCAGGAGGCTGTCCTTCCCAACCTGTCAGAATAGCCACCTGCAGGCTGCAACCCTTTATGAGGAATGAGGCTCTCCTTTCCAAATGCGCAAACCTTGTCATTCTTCAGCTGACACCATCACAGACAGAGGCTCTAGTGGGAGAGAGGTGGCCAGGACAGAGGGGTACTCTGAGTGCAGCCACAGCCATGCTGCTGGGAAGGGGCAGGCAGAGGCACCGGGATGCCTCACGCACGGGCTCTATCAAAAACAGGCGCAAAAATAATGGAAAGAGGAAATGGAACCACAGAACAGAAGCATGGTACGGCCACGTGAGAATGCCTCCAGCTTGGATTCTTAGCCCAGCCCAAGGCCTGCATTCCTTCACTCATCACTCATTCATCCATCACTCATTCATCCATTCATCACTCATTCATTCATGCATCATTCATTCATCACTCATTCATTCATTCATCACTCATTCATTCATGCATCATTCATTCATCACTCATCCATTCATTCATCACTTATCCATCGAGTGCCTCAGTGTTTCTTATGTGCCGGGGCCCTTCCTCTCATGCGACCTATGTTCAGTTAGAGTAATAACGAGAAACAAGTGCACAAGAACATAAACTTGTTTCTTTTCTTCCTTTATTTTCAAGACAGGGTTTCACTCTGTTGTCCAGGCTGGAGTATAGTGCTGCGATCATAGCTCACTGCAGCCTCGAACTCGATCCTCCCACCTCAGCCTCCCGAGTAGCTGGGACTATAGGTGTGCACCACCACATCCGGCTGATTTAAAAAAAAAAAAAAAAAAAAAAATGGAGAGATGAAGACTCACTATGTTCCTCAGGCTGGTCTTGAATTCCTGGGCTCAAGCGATTCTCCTGCCTCAGCCTCCCAAAGTGCTGGTATTACAGATGTGAACCTCCATGCCTGGCCGAAACAAACTGCTTCTAATTCAAGAAACACCACAGAGACAGAGGATGATGGGGTGCACGGGGCTGCAGGGAAGGACGTCCTGGAGCGATGGTATTTGAGCCAGCAGCTGAGGGAGATGAGGAGGTCTGGGAAAGGGAGCTTCAGGAAGAGGAACAGCATAGCATCTGCAGGGGCTGGACGCTGGGCGAGCTGGGTGTGGTCAGGGCAGGGGTGCACGGAGCACGGTGGCCTCAGGGGTGGGATGGGTAGGGCAAGATCTTACAGGACTTTATGGGGCAGGAGCAGGGGCTGACCCTGTTCTAATGGCAATGGAGAGAGGAACAACCCAGGTCTCATTTGATTCTTTTTTCCTTCCCATCTCCCTGCATACTGACCGTCTCAAACTCTCACACTTTCCCCATCATTTAAACACGGTTTCCAACCCAAGGCATCAGAACAAGGACACAGAAAGCCATGATAAAAATAAGAGGCAGGGGGTGGCCAGGCTGTGACTCTCTGGGAGGGGCAGGTAAAGCGGTGGCAGAGGCCGCAGAAATCGTGACAGCCCTGTGATGACAAGCGGAATAGAACAGCCAGTTTTCAGGGTCTCCTAATAAATGCCCTGGGAGAAATCCATCTGTGGTTTCTAGAAGTTTGGTCAAGATGATGACTGACACAGGTGTGTGGGGGGGGGGGGGGGCTGGGTGGAGACACTGCAAAACCAGTTTTACTTTATCACCACAAAATCTAACCTTGCCTCAGGGAACCAACCTGGCCAAGGGCAAGTTTCACTTCCTCCTCTCTGGGTAGAGGAAGGACTCGGGCATGGAGGACACACCCATCCCTGGAGCGGACGGGGAGGCCCACCGATAAATCCCCTCCCAGAGACGCCAAGCAATTCGATTGAAAGAGTTTGATCATTTACGTCTTTTGGAAAAAGACAAAAAAGCAGGAAATGAGTGTAAAAGCCACCTCCTTGGAGGTTATTTTCCACAGCTGGTGTAGTACTCCTGGTTGTGTCATTTTTCCACCTCTGGTGCAACGTCGAGGTGAGTGTCCTGGGCTCACCAACGCTGTCAGGTTCCATGACGGAATGCACAGCCATGGCTGTGGTCTCGGGGCCGCCCGCACAAAGCCTCTCACAGGATAGAAGCACTTTGCGTGCCACTGTGCTGGGTGCACCCGTGAGGAGACCAGGCCACGGCCAGGCACCAGGTTCTGGAAAGTTATTTTACTGGAGAGCCGGGAGGTGTGCTCTGAATCACACACGGGTGATGGGTGATGGCTGATGGGAGGGACACAGGGCCCCAGAGGCTCCCCTGCTGCGTTTGTTTGCCTCCTCCCCACCCAAGTGCAGTGCCTTCCTGGTTGCCAAGGTGGCCCCTCTGACAGCCGCTTCCAGTTCCATCTTCCTCCCCTAGCCAATCTCGTGGCTCCATGCTTCTGGTACTGCACACAACTGCACGACACCCAGAGAGGGTCTCTCGCCCCACTCCTGCCCCACTCCTGCTGGGCTGCGTCCCTTCTGTCCCCTGGCTCAACACGGGCAGCCGGGCCGGGTATGAGCCATGTGCGCCCCTTGCCTGCACACCTGTGTCTACAGGACACTCTGGGCTCTCCCAGACACACAGGGCTCAATCCAGGGGAGCCGGGGAGGTGGCAGAAAGGCCAGGGCACCAAGAACCACACCTCTCAGAAGCTAGGATGCAAGAAAGGCTGCGGGTTCAGAGGAACGAGGAAAGGCGGCACGTGGCAAGGTCACAGGGTTTTCCCACAGGAATGAACACCATGATGCGCCCCTCTCCGGAGGATGGGGGTGGACTCTGTTCTATCACAGGGGGAAGTCCACAGGGACTCTCCACCACAAACACCCCTGATGCCAGAACACAGGTGACGCTAAGCCTAGCCAAGGTAACCGCCAGGACTCAGCTCTGCTGACGGCGGGGCTGCCTGCGGGGAGCGGCGCTGACAAAGCATTGAGCAAATGCTCCCCAGTTGGCTTGTGGGCTGGGGCGTAACCCACAGTCTGATGCTTACTTCCCCCTTTTATTTCTTTGGATTCCAGTTCACAGTTGTGCTGGCAAAACAAATGCTGTCCTCGCCCCACAACTCAAACCAACACAGAGGGGGAAGTGGAAACAACACAGAGATGTTGGAAGCTTCAAGGAAGCAAAGGCAAGAAAAACTCACATTACAATGAACTCAGGCTTTGGGGCAGTGGTTCTTGAGACTCTGGAGTCACAGACCCTGTTGGGAATCTAACGAACCACAGATCTGCTCCCAAGAGATCTAAACTGAAGTGGCGAGAGCACAGGTCTCCTTCTGCCCCCACCCCCACCGGGTCCACTCGGGGACCCTCGAGGAGCTCACAGACTCCGTGGGAAAAGTGACTGGAATGCTTTTCTTTGCAGGGTTCTCAGGTGGTCTGGGGCCTCCCAGGATCCCCGGTAAACCTGTATCTCCAGATGCACACTTCAAGCCCCACATGTATATCCCAGGCAGCGGGACATCAGCCTCAGACACTGTCCTGGTGACTTACGACACCACAGCCCACGCCCAGGCATACTGGGAAGGTGAAAGGCTGTGCTGAGCTGCACCTATCCCAAGCAGCGGGACATCAGCTTCAGACACTGTTGTGGTGACTTACACCACGCGGCTCACGCCAGGCATGTATTGACGGCTGTGCACAGGCTGCACCTATCTCAGGCAGCGGGACATCAGCCACAGACACCTGCTGTAGTGACTTACAACACTTACCACGGCCCGCCCAGGCACGTGGAGGCTGAAAAGCTGTGCTGGGCTGCCTATCCCAGGCTTAGCGGGACATCAGCCACGAACACTGTGTTACTGGTGACTTACGACACCACAGCCTGCGCCCAAACATACTGGGAAGGGTGAGAAGGCTGTGCTGAGCTGCACCTATCCCAAAGGCCTAGCTGGGACATCAGCTTCAAAGACACTGTTGTGGTGACTTACACCCGGCTCACCACCCAGAGCATATTAGGAAAGCGGCTGTGCTGGGCTGCACCTATCTCAGGCAGATATTTTTGAACATCTCTGGTGACTTATACCATGACATGCCCGGGCATGTTGGGCTGAGCTGCACCTATCTCAGGCAGCGGGACATCAGCCACAGACACTGTCCTGGTGACTTATACCACGGCCCATGCCCAGGCATATTGGGAAGGCGAAAGGCTATGCTGAGCCAGCCGCACCTATCTCAGGCAGCGGGACATCAGCTTCAGACACTGTTGTGGTGACTTACGACACCACAGCCCATGCCCATGTGCACTGGGAAGGCGGAAGGGCTTTGCTGAGCTGCACCCCTAACCTCCCAGGCACCTGCTGAGCACTCACCATCACAAGCTCCTTCTGGAAGGACTTCCGGTCTTTGTTCTCCGTGTTGTTACAGTCCTCCTTCAGCTTTTCCAGGACGGACGCCACCCGTTCGGGCTCACTATCCAGCTCTGCCCGGCAGAAAAAGGTGAGCGGCAGGTTCACGTAGCCCAGGGCGTCGGCGAAGGAGCGCCAGCTGCTGATGTTCTCCATGAGCAGGGTCCTCACGGAGGCATAGATGTAGGTGAGGAACTTGCAGGGCCGCAGGATCTGCTCCAGCAGCACCGAGGTGCTCAGCTCCGGGCCCGAGCACAGGCTGGGCCGGGCCCTGCCGACCACCAGCACGTTCTTGGCGTGCACGAGGCCCACCCTGCCCTGGTAGTAGCCGATGTACCACTCCTTGGTCCACAGCTGGCCCCGGAGCCTGACCCGCTCCTCGCTGAGCAGGGCGATCCCGTCGCCCTTCTTGTACTCCAGCAGGTAGTGGTTCTTGTTCTGCCGCACCACAGTCTTGAGCAACTTACCAAACTTGAGGCTGGACACCGGGCGGTCCTGGAAAGTCGGGTACTTTGTAGTGGTGGCAAACGGGGACAGGATGATTTTCCCGACTTCGTTCTTCTTGAGAAACCTCCTTTGCCCGGAAGGCTTGATGGCACTTTTAGGGGGTGGCTGAGGAGTCTGGACGCAGAACTGGGTGAGGATGGCCTCCTGGTCGTCCTTCACCTGAACCCGCAGCGTGAAGTCAGAGAGCTCGTTGGGGTTCTGGGACGTGATGGGGAAGATCAGGCGGCTCACCTTGCCCAGCTTCAGCTGGAATCCTCGCACCACTTTGGCCTGCTCGCTGGCTTTGACCTCGTAATTCGTCATATTGGAAAACATACAGACCTTGAGATCCTGGGGCCTGGATAAAACGAACTGGTGCTTGCCCCATAGCTGCAGGGCCACCGGGGCAGGGTTGGGTGCCTGGCGTGTGACCTCGCTGACCAGGAGTGTCTTTGGGGCACAGTCATGCCCAAAAATGGTCACTACCGTCTTGAAGGATGGGTGGATGTGTTTGGGGCCGTAGAGACCCACCGTGACTTTTTTATGGATGAAGTCCCACACGGTGGAAGGGTAGAGGATGCTTGGGCCATGGGCAACGACAGCCACGTACATACAGGGCTCCAGGTTGTGCAGCTGTGCCTGGACCGTGTCCCCACAGCTGCAGTTAAGCGGGACGGAGACATACGGCCCTTCCTTTGAGTCGCTCCTCAGGCACTGGAGGCCCACTGTGCTTTTGCTAAAAAGGTCATTTTTTATCTCTGCTGACACTTTCATCTCCAGGATGATAGAGGTTTTCACTTCCAGGTTGCTCAGCTTGACCTCCAGCACGGGGCTGAGGCTGCAGGACCTGTCACTGTTGAGCTCCAGCGGGGGGTCCAGCAGGGCTTTCATGGAGATCTGCTGGGTCTCCCCAGGGGCGACATGGCCCTCGGGCACGTGGATGCTGATGCTGGTGTCGGGAAGCTGCACAGCACCCCCGGAGCTATCCAGCTTGCACACGATGTTTGTCTCCACGGCTTGGGTCTGGCCCCAACCAGGGCTTTGGCCAAGCAAGTCCAGGTCATGGCAAGACCGGGCCAGCTTCCGGTGGTTTAGCCAGGCAGTTCGGAAATCCTCCCGGCTCTGAAATTGCTCGGGGGCAGGTGATTTCAAGCCGGTGAAGAAACTCGACGACGTGGGAGCGTCGGACTTGGCTTGGAGGACGGAGAGTTCCGAGAGACTGTAGGAGCGCTTGCTCCTGAAGAAGGGGTTGTCCCGCCTGACTGGCGGCTCTGCGTGGAGCCCGTTTGTGACTGGAAGCTCGTCAAAGATGTTGCCAGTGCTATTCGTGGTGGCTGAGCTGGATTCAGTGAAGGAGGATGTGCCTGTGTCAAAAAGGAGCAAATCCACAGTACTTTTCGGATTCAGCTCATCCAGGCTGGGCGTGACGGGCACGTTCCCATTCAGAAACGGGTTGGTCTGGACCCCGTTCCAGAAAGGGTTATTACTGTACGTTCTGCCTGGTACTTTTTTGTCATCCGTCCATCCCCCGAGCAGATCCAGCTCCTTGGCTACCTCGTCTGGGCTGTCTGGAAGATTGTCAATCATACCGCTGTCACTCAGTGTTGAGTTCCGGTAGTTCAAGGGCTGCACATAGGAGGAGGGGATGTAGCCCATTTCGGTGGTGTTGTGTGCGTACCACCACTCACCGCCAGATGTGTCCAAGACGTAGAGATGGTCGCCCTTGGAGAACTTCAGTGTGGTGAAGTTGGTGGGGCAATAGTCCTTGATCGCAATCACTTCCTTCGCATTTCCAAAAGGTGTGGGGTTGTCTACTAGCAAGGCACTGGGAGAAGGCACTGTGCAAAACACAAAAAAACAGACAGTGAGGGCAAGGCCGGTGGTGTATCCAGAGTGTTTCCCAAAGGAGGGAGGAAGGTGGTAAACCAGACAGGTGGACAATAACCCAGGCAAGTCACCAGCAGAAACAAACCAAAGTGAAATTCGGTACGTCATTTACCCGGCCAATGAACTGGTTACTGAGAGCACCACTGCTACTTGGTTACTTTCGAAATCGACAGCCTATGCCCGGCAGAAAGACCACAGAGGATCCTCTCCATCACTCACAGAAAAGCAAATCAGTGCAATGGAATATTTAACATGCCCTATGCCCTAAATATCTCATTTCGGGCAACTTTAACTTCTTAAAAGAACTGCTACTAGATACAAAGAGAAACTGAATGTGATTTACTTAGAAAACACGGTGACATGATGAGTTACGTGACCACTGCATGTGACCAGGGACTGGAAATGAACAGTCTCCCAAAACTCCCACAATGACATGTCTGAGCCGATTCCAAGCTCTGCCTCTGGATGGAAAGATTCCCTCAGCCTGCTTCTTAAATTTCCAAGCTCAACCTGTTCCTCATCCAACTGTTTCCTCAGATAAAGTATGAATTCTGAAGTCAGTTCCTTCCAACCTTTTATTCTTATTTTACGTATTTATTTATTTATGAGACAGTGTCTCGCTCTGCCACCCAGGCCGGAGTATAGTGGCATGGTCTCAGCTTACTGCAACCTCAGCTGCTTAGGTTCAAGTGATTCTCCTGCCTCAGCCTCCAAAGTAGCCAAGATTACAGGTGTGTGCCACCACGTCTGGCTAATTTTTGTATTTTTAGTAGAAATGGGGTTTCACCATGTTGACCAGGCTGGTCTCAAACTCCTGACCTCAAATGATCCTCCCGCCTCAGCCTCCCAAAATGCTGGGATTATAGGCATGAGCCACTGTGCCCAGCCCAACCTCTTTTAAATTATCATTCAAAATCACAACATGAAAATAGACTGTCCACATACCTTGAAAGTGAGAGATTACGCCTAGTCATAGCTCATACTATCATTGAACAAGCGTTGAAGCAGTCTGAAAAATTCCAACCGTTTAAAAAGTGAATCAAGTTAATTTATGGTTCCTGCCATTAAACTGTATGTTACCAATGTAGACAGCAATTGAAATAGCAAAAATAAGTCAGTTAAACAAGTGGTGTGTTTTGAAAAATAATGGATATGATTAAATATCCAAGTGTTTCCTCTCCTTCTCATACATGAGAAGGTATATTCAGAAGATGAAGAACATTCTTTCTGAAGAAAATAAGCATATATACTTCTCCCCAGGACTCCCCTCCCCCACCTCCTAAACTGCCTCACTTCGGGAGTCTGCTGACATTCTGGCTTCCTGTAATAAACAACTGAAAGAAAGAAAGGAAATGTTTCTTTTTCTTTTTCTTTTTTTTTTTAAGTTGCCAAAGCAAATGACCAAAGCAAGGAATCCATTTTTAGGTGAACTAAACCTACATCTTTTCTAATGTGATTAAGTCCACAGTCATCGTATTCTATCAAATTGCCCCCCCCACCCCGCCCCGCCCCAGAAAAAATCACCTGCCAGTTTCCTTTTCCTTTGAAAGGAAATAATCACACTTCCTTGGGAAAGTGTTAGGAAATCAGGTAGACAGTTTCTATTCATTTACATGAACTGGGTCCCAGAGATGCGCTTGGCTGGGAGCATCCCTGGGCCTTGAAGTCCCGCCTACCTCCTCCTATGAAATTACAGCAGGGGGTCTATCTGGGTGTCTCAGAGAACCCGGCTCTGGGATCACTGAATCAAGACCTGAATGGAGCCCTTAGCAACTGTGTGATCTCCAGAGCCTAAGACTCTACTCATGGTGGAGAAAAAGTACATTTCCTCAATGAGCTTTGGAGAGGATAAAATGCAAAGACATAGATAAGGCACTTGTCATAGTATTGCTTGTCCCAACTTGAAGAGGCACAGGATGTTATGTGAAATAGACATCTCCTGGCCCCAACGTTATCTCCTTCCATAGCTCTTATCACTAACCACTACATCATGTACCTGATGGGGTTCAGAACATGCTACCCCAAAATATAGTACCATGCATATTTTAAGCTGGAGGAATTGGAAAAACAGCAGGTGCAGGAAGAACTCCCTGCCCACCCCCTGAAGCAGGTCACAGACTCTCAAGTGGGAGGGGCCCTCACTGTATGTGGGGGACAGAGCATCCTATCTCCAGGGACACAGGGAATCTGCAATGCCCAGGCCTTACTGTCCTCTGGCTCATGACACTTGCTCATGCTTTTTTTTAATCCCATCACATTTTTTCCAGGACTCTCCACACCTCATCGAACCCCTCAGGTTTAACTACTTCTTTAAGTCTTCATTTCCTTATGAAGAAATGTCTGCAATATACATAAAACATATATTAAGTCAGTTTGAAGGCTTTTCTCTTATTAATGTCTTTTGTTAAAGGAGCCCAAGCCAAGAACTCAGAATTTTTCCTTCTCTACATACCTTACATATATATATACACACACACACACAAAAAAATATGAAAAATTATATATATATATATATATATATATATATATTTTTTTTTTTTTTTCTTTTTCTTTTTCAGGAGGGGAGCCTCCATCTCCCCATTAGG